TGCACTGAAATTCGCGGTGGGGCTCGCGGTGTTTCTGTAGGTGGACGTACGACTTCTGTGTCCGAGTTTAGTTAGGCCTCGATTGCAGTTTTTAGATCTGGTTTGAGTCATGTTCTTTACCCATTGGGATCGTTCGTGCATGTGGTTCGGTGGTCATCTGCGGTTGTGGAGGGTTGTTTCTTGTTGCTTTTTGTTATTCTTGGGTTTTTTGTTGGGTAAAATATACATGACCCCCCTGTATTATATGAAATCTACACGTTTTTTCCTAGTATTTTAAAAAATGCGTCAGACCCCTTTGTATTAACTAACTGTTGTACGATTTCCCCCTCTCTGTCCAACTTGACAGTGCGTGCAGTACACATTGTTGAAATGCAATAATTATTCATTTTTTCATATATTTTTTTATCTTAAAATTTGGAATTTATTATTTTGTTCCTTGCTTTTCTACCCATTATTGGGCAAAAATTATGTTTTGCTGCTCTTAGGATTGGAACTTGATCTAAAAGCTCCATAAGCAAGGCTTCAAACCATTGTGTCACAATCATTCTATAGTACATACGTAGTACACATTTAAGAAGAACAACAAAACAAAGAAAAACTTAATCAAAAAAAAAAAAAAATCAGAAAATAGAGTAATTATAAGGAAATATAATTAAGATAAAATAAAATAAAAATTAAATTGAATAAAACTATGTGTTAAGTTTGAAAATAATAAATAAATATATTACTATTTAATATAAAAATAAAATGGTTATGTGGTTCGATTTTAATTCAAATTGGAACAAATCATTAAAAATGTCTACGGTTCGAGTACACAATAGTGTTAGACGACTTTCACATTATTGACTAACAAATTTCACAATAGGGACTAATTCGAGCCAACTAAATTGTTTGATTCGATATTTAATATTTAGGTCTGATTATCTATTTTTATTTTAAAATATTGATGAATTCAGTTCGACGTTGGATTTTGTTTTTTTTTTTGAAGAACCAATTGAACTATATTAAATAATGATAATAATAATTATTAATTATTATTATTATTTATTATTATTATTTTATTTTTTAAATGTGTTGAAAGTGCACAGTAATATTAGTCGAATTGCACATTAATTACTAACACATTGCACATTAGCGACCAAAATCGAAATTCCCAAATAAATAAATGTAAACTATTAAATAAACATATAAAATTATCAAATATCAACACCAACTAATAAACAATAATGTGTATGTGTTGACCAACTTTTTTAAAATATCGACGCCAACCAAATACACTTTTAATACTCTTCGTCGGTAATATATTTTCCAACGCATGTATTTTATTTTTCAAAAATTCGGCCATTTTTTTTTTTAAATTCAAATTGATTATTACGGTTTTTAAATTTGGAGTAGAACATACCGATGAACAATATTCTTCATTCAGTAACTTTTTTGGACTTTCAACGTGCAAATGCACACATTATATTGTGCATTTTACATATTTGTGCATGAATTGAACTTTAATTAAATTGCAAATTTGCCTAACATATTAAATAAAAATATAGCAAAATACACATAAGTCCTTGTAAGTTATCAAATTTACGAAAGAAAAACCTACAATCCATGAACCATGAATCTCTCTCCCACTTGCAGCCTTCACATCAACCTTCATTTCTCCCAACTTCCGAGCGGTGGCTGCCAGCGCCGTCATCAAGTTTGAGGGATTCATTTCCCTCCTCGACAAGGCTCCGTCCGCCGGTAACGCCAAATCCCATCGCGGCCCGCTCTCAAATTTGGATAGGATGTCGGCGAGTGCATTAGGGCTTTTAAATTCGGGTCGGGGAAGATCGAGCGGAAGGAGACGTCGGCGACCATCACCTTCGCGTCTCTGGTGGCGTCGGTTCAGGTCATCGCTGACGGGGGAATGAACAGCTTGTGGCAGTGTGGAGGCGGGGGTTGCGTCAGGTGGTCGGCGGAGGCCGGGGACGAGGTGGGTGCAACTGTGTGGGCGTCAATTGGACAAGCAGGGCACGCGTCGACGTCGGGGCTGGTGGCCGGCAGGCGGCAGATCTTGTGGCCGACAGTCATGTATGTGTGTGTGTGTTATATGTATATTTCAGTGATTTGTGTGTGAGAGATAATGTGTGGTTTTGATTTTTGGTGAGAGGGCCCACTGATTGGGTGGTATGTGTAAAATTACAAATTTTCCCATAGATGACTATATTTGACCAAAAGATGTTCAATTATTTACAAATATGCCCTGCTTGTTTGACTATTTTTAATCAATTTTGACTTCATCATGACAATTGATACGGTGGATCTAATGGTCCAATTTTATTCTTAGTTTTTTCATTGTGAGTCATTCTCATATAATCCCAGCTCAATATATATACTAGTTGGCATTTGTTGTGCACGTACAATCAACTCAAATTTCACCTTCCTAGTTGGGCCTACCCAAAGGCAATCGACAAAGTGACATCGCCCATGGGAACGACGTCCCATCCTTTAATACAACTACGTGTCTACCTCTTTCATTTCTACATCAACATCTATTTGTCTGAAACAATCATAGAATATGACATCAACTGAGCTCCCTGTGTCAATGAAGACTGGCTGCATATTGTACCCGACTACTTACACTTTGATCACCAATGAGTAATTGTGGGCGCGTTCAAGTCCTGAACGTCCTCAGCCCTAAAGCTGATCACCGGTGCTCTAGCTGCAATACTAACTTCCTCTCTCTTTCTTTTGGCAACTCGAGCATGCTCTTTTCTAGCACTGTTTGAGTCCCTAACCGTGGGACCTTATGAAATCATATGAATGACCACTCTCTTCAGTGGAGCCTGGTCCTCCTAGATGCTCGATCTTCCTTTATCTATACCTTTTTCCTCCGTCACCTCGACCACTCATGTCATATCGATCGTCTCGATCCTTATAGGTCTGCAATTATCTGCAGTGTGACCATAATCAACCTTATATACGAACTCCTTAAAGTGACCATCCTTGATCAGCCTCTCAATCTCGTCCTTCAGGTGTCTGCAATTATCTACGATGTGACCATAATCTCAGTGAAACATGCAGTAGACCTGACTTAGGTTGGGTTGGGTAATCTCTTCTCGACTTCGACCAGGTCACCATCTGCCCATCCATTTTTTTTCCAACTTTTCAAACATCTCCGCCATGTGAGCCCTCATTGGTGTACTTATCATATCCCTGACCATCTTTTATAGGTCAACCCGACCACCGATCATATTTTAATTTCTCTGATCTCTCTTTTTTGGCGAGCTCGCCCTCTCATTGTTTATTTCAAGTCGAGCTATCTGCTCAAGCCTTACAAACTCTTCTTCTGTCTCCTTCAGGTTCACATACTTCTTACATCTATTGAGGACCACGTCATAAGTCCTGGCCGGTGTCTTAGCGACAGAGTTTCCCACGGGCTAGCCTACATACTCCTTATCAGACCTCCTGCCTTGACCGTATTAGAGGCCAGCGGAATCTCAACACAAGATTTATTATATATTGCAACATAATTTGTAGAGACTCGCCTTCCTCTTGCCTCATTGCCATCAGAGTTAAGTTTTTTTCTTGAGTTATAGCACTCGCACACTAATTTAAAATAAGCTCGAGAACTCCTCAAAATCCCTCCGGACCCTGGGAGAGTTGATGAAATCAATCTTGGGCTCCTCTTCTCAAGGTCGCAAGGAAACTCGACAATTTACAACATCCGAATAGGCATGAATACATACATGTTCTCAAAACACCTCAAATGTCTATACGGAGTCAGATGACTAGTCATAAGTAAGACTAACATCTTCGAAGTTGGTAGGTAGAATTAGGGATGAGTTCGGTTCAATAACTGAATCGATGCCAAACTAAAAGTTTGGTGACACCGAAATGCAAAACTGAAACCGAACCGACTTGTAGTTGGTAACCAAAAACTTGGTTCGATTTTGGTTTTATACCGAAATTATCGAATACATAAGAACAATTTCTATTTTTCTAAACACATTATCCATTGTTATTAGGACAAGCTCATAATATGTAACACAACATGTTGAGATCTCAAGTTGCAGCATCATCAGCTTGACCAACTTCTGCTTTTTCCACAAAGATCTCAGCATATTATGCTTTCTAGCATGAAGATGATCACTAGGGCGATTAAATGGGCTTGTACAGGCTCACCAGCAAACAACATTGCCTTGATATGTCTGAACTCTGAATCAAGTGCAAACAATGATAAATTTCAGCTGATAGAACAATCAAATCCCATTCTTCACCCAAATGATGATCCAAGACTAATCACGATCACACACATCAAAATTCTCTTTATTCATCATTGTGCATATGTTCTTACTCTTTAATTTACTTATTATTATTATTATTATTATTATTATTATTATTATTATTATTATTATTATTATTATTATTATTATTATTATTATTATTATTTAATCTATAGGTTCAGTTCGGTTAATACCGAACCCTTATGGGGTGGTACCAATACCAAACCGATACGAAACCGATAACAATGGGTCGGTACGGTTCGATTTATTTTTCATCGGTTCGGTTCAGTTTCAGTTTTTGGTAAAAAAAATACCAGCCCTAGGTAGAATGGCTTCAAGAATGTCTTGGGCAAAGGGATTCCCTTAAGCTCGACCAATCGACTTGCCCTCAACCATCGTTTGCAGCTGTCGAAGTTGTTCCGCCATCTTTTCTAGAGATCGATCTCTGTACACTCCAGTGGCTTGACTACTCAAATTTCTGGCCTTTATCTCCCGTCTGGTCTTGCCCGTTGGAATACTTGATGCAGTGGCCGCATGAGATGCTTGTTGAGTGAACTGCTGGGCTGCTCCAGCTGCAATGACGTCTGCGATCATTTTCCGAGCTCATCCTTAGACAACTTGATGAGTTGTGGCTCTCCCCGCTCGGCCATGCTTCTGGGTGCCTACACTAATGGGACCAACGTTGGATCTGGCTGCACCTGGACTGAAAATATGACCTCTTGGGTCGTTTGGGCCTCCGATAGGTTGCTCGGCCCTACTGCTGCGACGAGGACTGCCGATGGGCTCCTTTGGCCCATAAAATGTGGCATCGGGTCTCTGGAGTCTGCGATGGTCCGGAGAAGCCTGACGGAGTGCTTCTTCCGAACGGACACGTGGTCGTCCACACGTCATCAAAAGTCAACTCTAAATTTTTTCTAGGAATTTTGTTCTCCATAGAAAATGGATCTTAATTGATGGCTTTTTGAACAGTTCCCACACATGGCGCCAAATGGTGTAAAAGAGACCTTCAATCGACTCGATTCAAGCTGATCTACCTCCTCGCCAGTGGATTATCTTCGATGCCTGCACAAACTCAATGTCGGGTGTGGTCTCCAGCGTAGACCTCTGATGCCTAAGATATAATAGGAGAAAGTGTAGGGAAGAAGATAATGAATTGTATATATTCAATAGTAAGGGAGTCTAGATAGAGAATTAATTTGCCAAGCTTGCCAGGATAGTTGACTTAGCTACCCATGATGCCCGTCCGGAAGACCTGCACTGCCCTAGGCGCCAGACTTGTCAGATGGTCAGATAGCCCAATCCTATTGGGAAACGTGGTATAATCCCCGAATAGCGTTACTTTCAAGTTATATGCATATTTGTCCATTAATTTCATTTATTAGACGGTCTAACCGTGAGGCCAATTCCTCGTCGCCAAGTAGAACACTTCTCCCACGTGGCTCACCCATTAAGTACTTAGGTCGATGATTCGACCAGACCCTCGACATGTAAAGGTTCCATCAGGCCATCCGAGGTCCCTAGCTCAACTAGTGCAGCTTCATACTTCTTATCTGTCGACATGAATGTTATTCGTTCGATCTCAAGGTTCGTACGATCTATCGATTTACCCGGTCGAGTTGGTCGCTTTCTTGGGTCCAAGCGACCCTGTGTGATATTACACATCAATATTATAAATAAAGCTCTTCTTATCACCCCTATATACAATGCTTGGATGTGCTGAGCTTAAGTGACATACTCACTGTTTCGAGATCATATTTGATACTTCTATGCTCTAGATTGATACATAGTTAGGCTCGGGTGCAATGCAACTGTCAAGTAGGCATGGTTATTTCCATAATACATTTTCACATTTTTGTTTTCTTTACCAAACAATCATTATTTATTTCATTACGTTTGTTCTTCCATAATCATCATAATACTTTTTTATTTTATTTTATTTTATTACATATGTTCAATTAAATTAATCATCGCCCCTCGCCCCTATATATAATTCCCGAATGCGTTGAACCTATGTGGCTGCTTCTGGTGCTTCAGAATCATACTTGGCGAAGAATCATGCTTCGTAATTAGGTTTGGACAAATACTATTGATATTAATAATTAATAATCTAGGTTCGGACATTCCATAAATATTATTTAGCTAAATTAGGTATTTTAATATCACTTGTACTAATATAACCCTTTAATTGTTTATAATTTTAAATAGTGAGACATTAAGTGACTAATATATCCCTGACTTTTAATTTGTTTCCTTCAATTAGCTATTGAATTGTAAATGTATTTTAAAAGTTGATAACTTTTGTATTTCTTATCGGTTTTGCATATATAATATATCAAATTAATCATCTTTTGATTATCTTCGATTTGACATCCATATTGTATATATGAAATAAATAAATTATATTTATCTTTATAATAATAAAAAATAATAATATTTATTAAAATTCATTAAAAAAATAAAATTATTTCTCAATTCATATATTTATGTTTAATGTAGTTATATGTTGTAAGTTAAAAAATTATTATAATATAATACAAGTAAGTCGCACAAATAAAAAGTGTCATACTAAATATATATTTTTATAAAAGATATTTAAATTTTCAACTACTTTTTCTCATTAATTTTAAATTTTAAGGAAAAAATTAGCAAGAACCCGTGTAATACACAGGCGTTGTACTAGTATTAGTTTATTTCTCAATATTTATCTCCAATAATGATATTTGTTTAAAATTTTATTTGGTATGTTGTCAATAATAAAAATAAATAATTAAATATACAAATTCTAAATTCCATATAAAGCGAAAAAAATAAAAAAGTAGCGCTTTCTCTTTCTCCAAGCGAAAAAACCTAGCCCACAAAATCCGTCCAGCGCTTTCTCTTTCTCCGGCGAATTCGCCTTCCTCAGTGACTACAATTCGGCTAGGGGTCGTCTCAACCGTTCCCTCCCCTCCCTGGCGAAGTGCACCCCTTTTGCCGCTTCAGATGGTCGATTGACGGTGGTCTCAAGTTCGCCATTGCCGATGGAATTCCGGACGGCGGTGGCGCACCTCAAGGTCGAAGTAAGGCCGACGATTGAAGTCTTTTCAGTTGGCGGCGGAGCTACGATTATTGATGGTAAGCCTTGCTTTCTTTTGGTCAGCGATTGCCGGACTTGGCTGGTTCCAGCGAGTTTCATCCGTTCGGGTGGGGCCCAGGCCGCTTGTCGTTGGATGTTTGTGGTGGTGACGGGTGGTGTGCGAGCTAAAGGTTGGGGCGGAGCTCCGATCACCGCGTTGTTCTTTGTTGCGGCGGTCGGGAGAGAGTGGTTTTTCGCTTGCACAATTCCCCAGTTGTCTAGTGGTGTTAGACGGCAGGGGAGATTCCATTTGGCCTCGTCTAGTGGTGTTAGAAGAGATCGGATGAAATCAGTGTGGGTTGGACTATGGCTCTCTCGGTTGCGATGGGTCGATTCGGGGACTTATTCGGAGTTAGGTTTCTGCTATTGTATAGGCTTGATTGCAGTTTCGGTAGCAGGTTCTTGGCCTGGATTTGTCTTGTGTCGATCATTCACTGCTGGTTCGAGCTTACTCGGTCGCTGGGGAAGGGCTTTAGCTTTTTTTAAATTTTTTGTGTTCTTGTTTTATGTTTTCGTAGTTGTGTTGTGCGTGTCCTGTGTTTTTGGTTTGGGCCGTTGGCCTCTGTGAGCCCGAGTGTCAAACTTATTACCCTGTTGGGGTCCGACACTCGGGTATTACTCTATTGGGGTCCTTGTAGTTTGTTTTAGTTGTTTGTGTTGTTAGTTTGTTTAGTTTCGAGTGTTTTTTATTCTAGCATTGCTAGCCGGGATTCTAGGCGGTCTTCTGACCTGTCCTCCCACTTTTTTCAGCTGTTGGCTGCTGTGTATTCAGCCGTTGACTGCTGTGTATTTGCACATTTGTGCTTTTTGATTTATAATATTATCTATCGTTTTGGGAAAAAAAAAAATCCATATAAAGTTAGAAAAATATAATTTAACATTCAAACTCTAAAATTATATATACGTGTTTTAACTATTATGATTAAAACAATATAACTTGAAAGTTTAATTAACACACAAATAATTTTAATTTTAAAAAAATCAAACAAAATTTTAATATTTTTTCTATATGCTTCTTCATTCAAGACTATCATTACTTACAGTAATAATATATAAAGCACTGCCCAATCCCTCATAGTCGTACGTAGTTTTCTTTTTCTTCCTTAAAGTTTTAGAATCTGGATCATCTGCTCTAAGCAAAACAATCTTTATACTGCTTCAACCTTTAACAAAACTGTTTACAATTTTTGTTGTAGATGATAAATCTCTGTAAACAATTAGACAATTTTTGATGGAGATGATAAATTTCTTTTGCAGCGAAAAGGGGTCGCAAGAGGTAACTTTAGTAATTTTAACATTTATTTATTTTAGATTTTGTTAATACAATTTTAATGTGTTGGAATTCTGTGGGTTTTTCTTGGATACGTTTATTGTCAGCTGAGTTGCTAATTTCACAATTTTATATAGATTTCATACTTCTCGAATGATTGGTAATTCATATCGACTCTATATAATAACTATTATTCAAAATTTTATTAAATTGTTCCAAAACTTGTTTGTATTTAGATAGCTTCTCGAAGATTTTAATAGAACGTGAAGATTGCTCTAATTTATTGATTTTTGTCTAATTGGGTCATAATTTCGTGTTTCAAGTTTTTCTTACAAATTTCAAAACATGGAGATGACAAGTTTTTCAAATCTGGAACGGTCTAAGCTATTGGTTCAATGGTTTATTAGTCGGATCGGTTGAATCGGTATTTAATATAGTCCTACTCTTAATGTGAAAAAATCACGTGCAACTTGTTTATTATTGCATTCTGAATGAGTTATCGTGCGTTTGCTTGACAGTGTGTTGAGAGATACCGTGGTGACAATCTTATAAGTCGATTACCCGATGACATACTCCTTGTTATCCTGTCTTTCCTCACATTGAAAGAAGCTGGGCGAACAAGTGTTCTTTCATCTCGTTGGAGAAACCTGTGGAGTTACACCTTACATCTCAACTTTGAGGACCATAGCTCGATGGAGAAGATCGTCTGGGATTCAGAATTTCGTGGTGCGAGTGTTGAGAGGGAAAAGTACGTAAAGTGGGTGGATTCGGTTCTCCAATCACACCGAGGGTCCACCGTGAAAGAATTAAGAATACGCTTTAGTTTAGTCAAATCAGCAAGGAAGTCCATTACGAAGTGGCTTGAATTTGCTTTTGAGAGGCACACTGAAAAGTTGGAGTTGAACCTTTCAGATGGTGATTGTGGTCAGGCCGCAGCTGAATCGTACGTGTTTCCTCAAGAGTTATGCGGAAATATCAACTGTAAATCCATAAAAATGTTGCACTTGGGCAGTATTCAAGTCTCTGGTGAAACTATTGAGTTTCTCTTACGTGGCTGCCCATTGCTCGAGCAGTTAATTCTCCGTTCCTCCAAGTGTTTGACACGTCTTGAAGTTTGTGGGCCATCCCTTGTATTAAAGCATTTGGAGATATGGAGGTGCACTTGTTTAAAATCCTTAAGAATTTCTGTTCCGAAACTAACTTCACTTGTACTTTATAAAGTAGAAGGCCTCTTGCTTGAGGACGTTCCAATGCTTACTAGTGTTTATGTGACCTTTGCGGACCTTTGGCGGTCTTCTTCAGAGAGATTAATTTCTACATTGCTTTGCTGTCTTTCCCAATTGGAGATTCTCACCTTGAAAATTTGTTGTAAGAGGGTAAGGTGTTGTTCTGCATTGATTTTAATTTTCGCTTATGGAGCTTAGTGATTGTAAATTAAATATGAAACTTCATAACGGAGCCCTATTGTTGATTCGACAATCATCACGTGGTTATATTTGGTAGGTCATATAATACTCAAATGATTGTCAAATCAATTATTTTGAACTTCATTTATTTGTTATTGCAGGAGCTTCTATGGATGATCAAATTCCCCATGATGCCTAAACTTAAGAAGTTGGTCATCATTGAAGGTTTACTTGGTGTGGACTCGAGTCTTCTTGGCCTAGCTAATTTTATTAGTGCATCTCCCAACCTGCAAGAATTTGAGATACGGGTTGGTCTTTGTATATATTATCCCTGCTATCTCGTCATCATTGAATGGCTTTACTACCTGTATTTGTTTTCTTATATTCTTTATAGGTGTTAACTTAGTATATGAACTTATTTTATTTTTAACTTGTATTGGCAGCAAAGGTGGTTTAAAGCTGAAAGGTCAAACAACGAAATTCAGAAGGGATTGAAGCACTTCCCACTGCACCAGCATCTGAATGTTTTTCGGTTTTTAGGTTATTATGGTTGCCCGAGTGACGTTGAATTAGTCAACTACTTGTTGGAGAACTGTGTCGCGCTTAAGGAAATCTTTGTTGATACCCAAAGTCAGGTACACGAGGAGGGCTATCCACTTGATTCTGAACAAATAAAATTGGCTGAAATAGCAAAGGTTTACGCCAAACAGCAGCTGGAGCCGCTAGTACCTAACCACATTAGGTTATTTATATGCTAACCATTTCTAGCACATTAGGTTGTTTGTATGCTAACCATTTTTCTGTTTGGTTTCGTGCTTAATACTCTTGTTTTCTTGCTCATGTACAATATTTTTTATTAGTGAAGTTTGTTTACTTCATTTTTCTTGCTCGTGTGCAATTTTCAAATAAGTATTGTTCACATTGCGTTTGGCCATACACCAAAATCCAAATTGGTCCTATTTCACAACTTTTTGGCGAACTACAAAATTAAGTGACTTGTTTTAATAATTGAAAATTATGTTTTCTTAATTTTTTTTTTTGGTTTAATTATGGTTTACCTAAATTATTTAAACTTACTTTAACACCTATTGATAAGTTGAATTCTAAAGCTTAATCGAAAACTAGATTTCATTGATCTTCAAGTAGAGAGCCTTGTGCGAAACTAGTATTCAACACATGCATTTGCACTGAGAGTAAATTGTTATAAGAGTAAGTAATATAAATATATACATATAAAAAAAAAAGAAAAAGTAACAATTTCATCCACGAAATATTAAGAATTAAGAAAAGAATACAAAATATTATGAAAACTTTTTTATATATAGCATTTATGGTTTTCCTATCTTTAGAATTTTTGTCGCCACAAATCACTGTCTTCAAACTATTTTGATTCGTCTATAGAAAGAACAAAGTATAACCGTTCGTGACTGAATAGTACTAAGTCGATGTGTGAATGAGACTGACCTTGACTTTATTGATTGTCATAGCATAAGAATCTATGACAAGAAACAATGTTGAAACTTGAACGGTAATCTTAAATCGTAAGGTATGTCAGTGAGCTTAGGAATAAGAATCTTATTACCAACTTTGACACCAGTAAAAAATTCTGCATTCGAAGACATGATTGCTGGTTTCATGAAATTATTTAAACTCACTTTAACACTTTGTGATAAGCCGAATGTTGAGACTTACTAAAACTCGATTTTACTTATCTTTATAAAGAGATAACGTTATACGAAACTAGACCATCAATCTTTGAATTGCATCTTACCAAACAAAATTGATATATATTATGTTTGTTATCAAAATTTAGAACATTATCTTTACCAAGGAGAGAAATTAGACAATCATTCTGTAAATTGCATCTTGCCTAACAATATTTCTAAACCATGCCAACAAGCTTCCGGGTCACCCGATAACCCAACCTTCCTCCTCCTCTGCTTGTCTTTAGCTACCCCAACCTCCCCCCAGCGTGCCCTCATCCTCCGAGGCAATCTGTTCTCTGACTCGATGCCTCCGATGATCGGTCGCCTCCGCTCACTGCCACCCTTGACCTCTCCCACAACTTGCTTTTCGGTAACCTACCGAACATGAGCGGGCTCTCTAGCCTGACAGCTCGACCCCAACTACAACTAGCTCATCGACTGACATTCCATGCCAGTAATGCTGCTAAATTTATTTATTTATTATATAATTAATTTAAATATAATAATAATAATAATTATTATGTTTTAATATATAATTAATACGTATTTTTAATTATTAATATTAATCATTGATCTACATAAATCAATGACTAAAATTTGTCTTACATACCATTTTTTAAGGTGACTCATTGGATACTTATAGATATACACGGTACTATTCCAATCTCATAAATCGACGAGCTTGTATGTATATATATTTGGAGCTATCAAAATGCGTTTAAGCTCGTGGGCCGGCCCGCTCGACACCGTCGAAAATGCGGGTTGGGTCGAGATGTTTTAGGTGGACCGAAGAATGAACCTAAATGGACCAGGTCGCGGGCCAGGGTGGGACGAGGTAGCCCATGTGTTAGCCCGTTAATTATTAAAAGTAAAAACTAACATAAGAAAAAGAGAGTAAAATACCCATTCTCTTATCGCTCAAACTCCACCAAACCAAAAATTGATCCGCCCGTTCGCCTCGCCCTCGCCCTCGCCCTCGCCGTGAGCCGCCGTCGGACACTCAGTCTCCGTTCCCCGAGCTGGTCTCAGTGCCACACCCCCCAAACTCTCAGTCTTTCAGTCGCTGGCCCTTTGCCATTGCGGACGGGTTATCACGGGGGGATTTCATACTTATCTCGGCCGCACCGCACCTTTGCTATTTCAGACGACTCGACGGTCCTCATTCCTCTCGTTCGACGAGTTTATCGGCAGCTTACAAGGTAACTTGTGACTTTCACACTCCTTCCTTTGGTCTGTGACGTGTGTTATCTGAACACTTTCTGTTTCGATGATTTTTTCGTTCTATCATGGTTATGGATGGATTATCATGGGTATTGATGGATGACAGAAGATAATTTTAGGTTTTTTTTTGCAATGTTGACCTAGAAATTGGATTTGTTAACTTTCAGGCTCTTATATAACTGACTCTGGAATTTGATCTGGTTTTGGGAAGTTAATTGCCTATCCATATTCTTGGTTGATGGTGGAATTCTTGAATAAATAGAAGTTTGGTGTGATTTGACTGTTGAATTCGGTGTGATTTGGCTTCGAGTTGGCTATGGAAATTAACTGATATGACTTGGCTGTGACTTGTGATTTCTAATGCGAGTCTGTGAATTCCTTGCACTTCTAAAGTTGTGAATTCTAATGTGAGTCTGTGATTTGGTTGTGAATTCTCATGTGATTTTGTGAAGTTGTGACTTGTGCATTTATAAAGTACAGCCGCAATCCCTCCTTCTTAGTAGTTTTCTTTTTCTCCTTCTGAAGTTTTACAATCTAGATCTTCTCTAAGCAAACCAATCTCTCTACTGCTTCAGCAACCTTTATTTCTTAATGGTTTTTCAATCGCCTTTATGATTGTTCTTTGATGATTGTTTTTACATATAACTAGGCTTTTCTCTTCATTGGATAAAGGCGGAGATCATTGGCTTTTAATTCCTTTCATTGACTGTCATTGAATTCATCAAGCAATTGATACCGAAAATCGGTCTTTTTCAAGAAGAGCAAGCCAATCCTCTGCTTGGAGATAACAAAACTGTTTACAATTCAAAGATGGAGATGATGAATGTCTTTTGCAGCGAAAAGGGCTTGGAAGAGGTAACTTTAGGAATTTTAACAATTTCAAATTTTTGACTCCTTTAAATTTTCCTTGATTCAAAATCATTTAATTATTTTATATTATTGTTACGGAATTTTGTGAGTTCATCTACTACTTGGATATGTTGATTGTCGGCTGAGTTGCTCATATGAATTGCGCAATTTTATATAGACTTCACCCTTTCAAAAAATAAAATAAGATTGATAAATTCATATTGACTATATAAAAACTATAATTAAAAATTTCAAATTGTTTAGAAACTTGTTTGTATTTCGATAACTTCTCAAAGATTTTGATTCAATGTGGGAGATTGCTTTAATTTATTGATTTTTTTTTTTTTTTTTTTT